AAATACAGAAATGGGACACATAACTGAGACTGCGCCTTTTAGTCCGGTGCGCCTTATGGTCGTGAAAATACGGTAATGTGTAAATTTCTCCACTGTGAGATCAATAAAACCAATCAATCAATCAATCAATCAATCAATCAATCAATCAATCAATCAATCAATCAATCAATCGAGTTCTCTAACTTTCCTGAGTGTTTCTGAATGCCTGATCCTGACCTGTTCTGCCTCTGGACCTTTGAGCCTGCCTGTCCTTGTTCTGATCTGTTTGCCTCACCTGTCTTCGGTGCTGGATTTAGGCCTTTCTGTGTATCGAACCTGGAACTGTTTTCCGACACCTTTCTGGATTTCCCTTGGGAGCTTCTTCTGATCTCTGATCTCTTGGCTGTGACTCCTGAGAACTTCTTCGACACCGGCTTAGGCTTCGTCCTCTGGATTATCCTGCCTTCCTTTATCTGCTCAGGTCTGAATTCTACCTGTTCTCTGACCTTTGTAACTTCAGCGTGTGGGACTCTCTGCATTGCTCAACGTGTCTTACTAGCAGCTGACTGGCTGGAACCAACCCCATTCTCTGGGCACGGACTGAACTTTAAGACCAGGTTAGTGACTCACACGTTCATTATCATCCTCCACCAGATAGAGATAGTCACTAACCTATGTTCTCCTCCCACAGAGATTCCTGCCTAAGATGCCATAGCTGTTCTCTGCAGTTCTGTCTGAAATAAACGTTTTGTTAAACTTAACTGTCTCTCCACCTTGAATAACGGGTCCTTTTGATCTGAGCCTGACAGAAAATGCTGTGGGATCAGTGGGATCCCTTTCAATCTGTAGGGATCTGTCAAGAGGGAAGGGAAGATGTACACCGAGGGTCTCTTTAGGTGCTCTCACACTATGCACTGAGCACCCCACAGTGGTGCAGCTGAATAGGATGCTCCCAAGCATTTTGTTGATGGTGCCAGAGGTGTGGGTCAGGGCTCACACACTCTTTAGTCTCCGACAAGTTCTGACTGGACCAGTCACAGTGCAGGAGGAAGAACTCTCTGATGCATCACTCTCAGTGCCTTTCTGCTTTTCTGCTATCATAATATTAAAATGGCAATCGTAAACTAACAATGTTTGAATGGTGCCCTTTTGGATGCCCTAACTAAGATTGATCTAACATTAAAATCTTAACAACGGACAGCTTTGTGTAATTTCTTTTTAAAAAGGAAGTATTTGCTATTGTCAGCTTGACCAGTTTCACAGAGTACAAAATCACATAAACAGAGAGCTTTGCTTGGAGTTTTTGCCTCAGATCCGCAGTTATCTGATTAGTCCTAACCTGATGATGGTGACCCTGTTTGTCCCGCCTTTGAAATCGAGCACTACAAGCTCTTTACCAGACTGATACTATGTATACACCAGTGATTATTTCTCATAAAATATTTGGTCAAATACACATTTTCAAACTTCATAAATGCAGTCATTTAACTGCAAAAAATATGTGCTAAAAGGTGCTTGAGTTCATGAGTATTGTATAACGCTATTGGACGTGATCTCTCTTGTGCTCTGAAGCAGCAGTTCATTGTCTGTCAGTCTCTATGAGAAATCCCCTTTGCGGCTCAAGCCTCTGTACTCTATATTGAGGCAAGCAGCAAGTAGGAAGACCCTGATTGGATAACAGACAAAAATGCGTCACTTAATGAAGCCGTCACCTTGATGCTGATTTGCAAACATACTTAAAGTCATAGGGAAGTCATATTTGAATGTGAAAATCATTCTGGCTTAAACATATATATAAATGTACTCTTTATCAGACTATATTATCCCAAAATTTAGAAAATTTCTATTTAAAAAAAAAACCTTAAAATCTGTTATTTTTGTTATGCAGCTTATGTCAGCTTGTACACCTAAATTCGGCCAATCATATATCAATCACATTTTTTCGGTCATAGCATCTTGATTCATATCTCGTAGCTAATATGCAACAGTTGCAATAAGAAATAAGAATTGTTTACTTTACCATTGAGTTGAGTTGATGTTGATGTCACAGTGTTCACGGGGATGATGGTCTGTTTCTTTGGCAGGCGTAGAGCTAACAGAACTGCCAGCGTTGCGAGGCAAGGGCTCAAACTGGTACGGCTGTAAGCCTTCTACACCAAACAAAGCTTCTGCTGCCCTGATGTGCTGTTACACAACATCTTCGTGCCTGCTTTCCTCCTCTAAATAAAAAATGTATGATGGAGGAGACTCCTCCACTACCTCCGACACAAAACTCTTCTCCTCTTGCATGTTTCTGCTGTCCATAGTGTTCCTTGACAGTGTTGTTTCTAAGTGCTACGTGGTCCAGATGTAATTTCCCATTGGGAACCTACAAGCACTAAGTTCCTCACTGGTTAGAAAAATGCTTCCGAGACATGGCCACAACAGAACTTGCTTGCGAATCTTCCGCCACAACAATCCCGCCCCCTTGATAAACGACCAATCCCATTCACTTTATTTACTCCTGTAAAGTCGGGCACCACTTGGGAGAATTTGGAAATGTAACGGTTGGAACAGCCGTTTCCCTGCGACTTTAAGGATTTTTGACTGACAGTCGCCAGGCAGCGTGGAGGTTTTCCTCAAAAGAAAAAGTGATAGTTCAATCAAAACAGTCATCTTGTGCTGAACTTCTGCATTAGTTTCTGGAGTTTATTATTTCAGAGCGCTTTACAACAGCTATTTTCAAGAATTGTTGTGATGTTTTTATGAATTTGTAAAACCAATATGTTACATTTGGATTTGATAAACACAATTTAGCCTTCCCTGTTTTATAGAACAGCAACCACCACGGGTATATAAGGAGTATCATTCTGGCTGACCATTCTGTTGACCTTATGTTGATAATATTTAATCCTTTTTCAAAAGACTTTGTTTTTCTTTATATGGACTAGAGCTTGTTGCATATTCTGCACGAACTGAAAAAATTTTTCTTGCAAGATCAAAAATTTTGTTTTTCCTCAGAGTTTTTATACTCTACTACCGGTATATAGAAGTGGTTCACCTGTTGAGCTCATAGACATTTCTATAAGGATTATATAGGATTATATAGAATCATATAATTCTTTATATTACTTAGAAGAGGTGTCATACAAATGTTCATATTTTCTCACCAAAGTTTTTCTTCTGTCTGAATTTTTTTAACTATGTTATATTTTGTAAATGTTTTTTCTTTTAGTCTTTAAAATACTTAAATTGCATATAAAGGATTTAATAATTTCTTTTCTTCTTTATAATGTAAACTATATGCTATGTACGTTTATTTGATTTTCAGTCCTAGTCTTGGCAACTTCTTTAGAACTGCAAGTCTCTTTTTTTAAATAGCAACTTCAAAAAATGGCAGAATAACTACCTATCTTGCAGTCATTTCAAATTGCTCTGCCTGTGTCCTGGATTTTAGAAAAGGTTATGATTGCTCCCAAATCTTTGTGCTGTGATGTAGCACTCCAATTTTATGTTGTGTCTTACCCTCAGGGTCTGGTGATTGAGAGCATTGGGAGAAAACCCCTCCTTATATTTGGTTTCTCCTCCATGGCCATATTCTTCAGCCTGCTGACGGTTTTCCTAAATTTCCAGGTGAGCTTTTTATCCTATTTCAGAACACTCTCCATGCCTTTTAACACCTCCCGTTCTTCACGTTTTCAATACTTTTTTTTCTCTGCCATTTCACATTATTACAAACTTAACTTAATTTCTGGACATCTATGGTTTGATTTATTTGTATATGTGGATTGCATGAATTGTTACCGACATCTGGTGAAAATGTCATCTCAATTTCACCTCTAGAAATCTATTTACTGAGAAGACGGTGACGTGTTCAAAACTTATTTTACCCACTTTAGATTGGTTGTGTCCCATACTATCACTATAAATGAAAAAAAAATCACAAAGAAAAACATACATTTATCATTAGTCTCAGTGGTAACTTAGTCTTTTTTGAGTGGGAACTTGAACAGAATTGTTGAGTTCAATCTACACAGAATACCGCAAAACTATAAACAGTGTCCTGGAATAAAATAAAGTATACAGTTTTAATTTTAAGAACAAATCAGTCATTTGTATTCATGACAAAAACATTAGAAACTAATTTAAACAAAGCAAACACAGAAAGTTCTAGCCAATATTTAAATCCATTGTACAGTTAAATTAAGGACAGTCGACCACCTGGCATGACACTTGGACTAAGAGGACCTATAAACTTTTTTGGTCATAGGCAAATTTTTTGCCAAAAGAGTAAAAAGCCTATCAGTTAAAATATCAGTGTTATGATGGTTAGAATACTTCATCCAATATGAGATACCATTAAAGCCTTTACTATATTACCTAATCCGAAACTTGATCAATGGCAAATTTTATACACTCTACCAACAGTATGAATATTTCCATTACTATAACAAAAGAGAAAAGAAAAATAATAGCATTGCTTTTACTAATATCATTATTAGCACACCCACCAATCTGTCAGAGAGTGTTGAATTCCTCACATGCTTTAGCTCTTACCTTTTAGAACAACAACGTCCATATTGTATTCTGGCGTGTCACACAAATATTCTCAAAAAGTTTTGACTCAACTGCCTGGACACATATGAGTGACATTTCTAAGCCATAGGGCTTTAATAACTCTAGGTCTGTGGAATATTTAGGCTTGAGGAAATTTCATGACTGGATTTATCCCAGTTCCATGCTGGGATTCAATGAGCTATCCAGAGCAAACCAGTCTTCCACAAGTGTTTGTAAAAAAAATCTGCATGCCTAGGTGCATGTTTTTATTCACATGTGACCATGGTAGTAATTGTAACACCTGATTCCGATTATTTGGATGGATTACCAAATACTTTTGGCAAAACAGTGCATGTCCCTGCTTTCTCACACTGGATCTTGGAAATTTTTCTCTTTCAGCTATCATACAAGATATCTATGTAATTCCAAATCAAGCATTTATCTTGTCATTCCAGGACAGTGCGTCATGGATGCCATATCTCAGTTACATCTGCATTCTTGCGGTTATCGCAGGCTTTTGCTCTGGACCAGGTAAAACTATCACTTCCCTTCAAACTGCTCTTGAATAAGCTGCATAAATACTCTGTAGATACAGCATAAACAAAGGCCTGCTTTAAATTTGTCTCGTTATACAGTGCTGTTGGTTAATCAGTGTGCCTTTCCCTTCTGTGGTCTTGAATAATTAGCAAATTAGCATACTACATTGAAAGGTGTCGTCCTATATGTGCATATTAAACAGAACCTATACATTACTGTATGTGCATGACCCTTCAGATATGAGAACGTTAGGACGTGGGTCTTGGTGAAAGGTACATATTATTTGTGTCAAAGTGAGGCCCTCACAGTAATATTCATGTCTCAAGGGGAAGCATTCACTCAGCAAAGTGCCTGTAGTATGGGATACAAGTCTTCTTAATCGAGGCATATTCAGAGGTGAAGTTTATTAGACCATGTCCTTCAGTGAAATAAAGAAAAGAAAAGAAACAAAGTAAGGTAAAACATCCTAAAACACCTTTAGCTGCAGGTAGCACAATACTGCCACCACACTCTAAACATGTTTGGTCACTAGAGCCTTTCTAAAAAGGACTACTGCTGTGATATTTATAAGAGACTGCTTTGCAGCCACAGATAATTCATAGCCCCTTGAAATGAACACAGCTTCTCACTGGTAAAGGGAAAAAAATAATTCACAAGAGGGAAAGTCCCAGTTGTGCTATGAGCCTTTCAGTGGATAAATGAGGGCCCATCCTGGCTCTGAATTGGCTTCAACATGGGAACTGCAGCTCAGATATTTCAACAACCTCTAAAACACAAACTTTGCTTCTTTCTAGAAGAAAGACATTTTGATAGGTACAACAAAGGGTATCGTCACAGCCTTTTTTATTTATTTCCCTTACATCTCTGTGTTTCAAACTTACATTCAGGTTTTTCTATTTCTTTTATTTTTCTATAATGATCCCAGCCATTTTCCATAACCCACTTCAATCTATTGAGGGACTTGTGGTTACATCACTCCACACATTAATTTTTCTACTGAACATTCTTCTTCTTTTGAACATTTTCTTTACATTTAAATTCCATTATACATTTCTCTGTTCTCTACTATGTTGACTTAAGTTAAACTTTACAAATTCATCATAGTGTATTTTGTTTATACTATTTAGAAATTTTAAAAAATCAGGCAATAAACCATATCTAAATAAGTAAACGTTTCTTTCATTGGGTCAACATAAATACTACAGTGAACAAACTTGTTAGCGAACCTCACATACATTATGTGGCCCGCCTTCAGGATATTCGTTTTAAGCGAATTTTATTTCATATCACACATAATGATTTATTTTGATATCAAACATAATAATCTACAAAAACAAGGGAAATGGACTTCAAACATTTTCTGAAATCTTTATCTGAATACTCTCAAGCCTTTTTCAAAGACTATGCACAGTTTCGTTTTTAACTAAACCTGCACCAACCACTTTTAGAATATGCTATATTATTCCCACAATTCCGTTATTGGTTATAAAATAGGCTTAAACAAGAGGAAAGAATGTTTCTGTTCTCCATCAGCCCGGTATTCTTGGGAGAACAAAAAAGAATAAAAAGGTCCTGATTCTAATTTATAGTAAAATAGATTTTCGGTATACGTTAGTACATTTATAGTCAGAAAGCCAACTAAAAAAATCTACTTTTTGTTGTCGTTTTTTTTCAATAAGTATAAATATATTAAAAGATCTATATTTTATGGTCCAAAAAGCAAAACAGAATATACCAGCAATAGGAAAAATAAAATCTTTCATGAAACTAATTATACTATGGTGATTTCTCAATTCTAATAAAACAATAACATTATTGACACAGCTTAAAAAGCCCACATCAACTTAAGAGTACTTAAATTGCTGTGGGCTTTTTAAGATTTTTTTTTGTGGCAATTTTGTAGAGTTGCCAAAAGAGAAAAGTCAAAGTCACTTTTTCCATGCCATTGTTAGTGGTGTTGGAAACACACAGCCCATCATTCAGGGTTATTTTAGACAGACTAATAGAACTTTTAGAGGCTAATTATCCTAAAGTTATCTTTTTGGACAGTGGGGGGAAACCAGGGATAATCCAGACATGCATTGGGAGGTCATGCATAAACAATGCAAAAAATAACCAGACAGGGGTTTAAACCTAATTTGTCCCTGGCTTAAGGTAATATGCTATCAGGTAAGAGCTTCTTAAGTAATGCTTCTCAAACACTGAGCATCTGTTAATACATTTAAATCTGTTTGTGAGAATGTGTAAACCAGTTAAACATAAACAAATTACATACAAAGCATTGTATCCTAAAGAACAAGGTGAAAATGTATAAAAATCAGTTAAATAATGTTGGAAAATTTAACAAACGCCTACATTTTTTTTGCATAAAGCTTTTCTGTTTATTTTAAAGAAAATACTTTATTCTATGTTGTTGAAATTCAACTAGAAATCCATTACCCACAGAAGGCAAAATATAGAGGTGCCAAGTAATTCTCCAATGAGAATATAAAACATTTACTGTACATTCACTTCACCTCCAAATGGTACAGATAGAAGGCTCTGTTTCAGGTTACTTTATTAATACCCAACAGTAGGTATGCCTTATGGAGTTAAGATACATAAAATCAGCTTTATTGTCTCGAAGTGGTGAAATTCTGAATAAAAATGACATCCATCTTACAAACACAAACATTACAGTCATTAAAAGAATAAATACACTGAAAATAAAAATAGAAGAATAAAAACAAACAGGTAGAAACAAGCTTAAAATTAGTAACCTATTAAATGTGCGAAGTGTCTCTACATCTTCTTTAATTGTACCCGTATGGCCTCATTGCCTCTTTGCTTTGCCACTGACACACCTGAATTCCAACGCTGTGGGATATTAAAGGAGCAGAAGTAAAGCAGTTTTTATAACGTTCCATTCTGCATAATGAGACTAAGAATCTCTGTCCAGAGGGAAGAAGCTAAAGCGTGCTGTGTGCAGGATGGGAGTCTTTTTTTTTTTTCTTTTCTTTTTTGAGAAAGGGTATCTGCTTTAATTCTGCAGCTGGAGTGTTAGAGTAAAATCAGAAAAATTAAGCGTGGGAGCTAAAAATAAGTCTTAATGTAACATAAAATAAATATTGGTAAGTTGTCCAAGTGTTTACACTTACGTGTTCATTGTTAAGGGCCCTGTCGTACCTTGCAGATTTAGACAGCATATGCTAGACATCTGAGAATCTCCTAAAATGCTGTCATACACTGAACTTTCTATGTATTTTTTCAATTTTCAGCATACATTGTGTATTAATAGTGAGACCACAAAGTATGTCCTAACTTATGCATAACGCACCACAGCGTAATGCCCATAAAATGATGCACAAGCAAGTATCCTGAGGGGAGCAGCAATGCCCACAGGAGGCGCCCGGCCTGCATAAAAGATTTGTTTGATCGCGGTATTAACCTAGCTGCTGCTTACCGTCCAGCACACACTGTCTAAATCATCAAGGTGTGACATGGCTTTTAGAGAAGTGCATCATGCTGGGTATTTAAAAATTGTGCTCAAGAGTGGTGCTTCAAAATAGTAATACTCAAATAAAAGGCAAGGTGCTGTAAAACCCTCAAAGAAAAACATTTTAAACAAAAATGAATAAATGTAACTAGTCACTGCTAACCACTAACCTCTGGCAAATGTATATGTGCAAAATAGTATGTCTTTTGTGCAAGCTTTGCTTACCTATACTATATCTAGATGCATAGATGGACCTGTGCTTCCTAAATAGGCTGAGCCTGCTGTGGCATTTGATGGTGTTGGGGAAAAGTAATGAAAATTCAGTTGTTTCTTTTTTTTTTTTTCTTTATTTTACATTCATCTTATGTATGTGTGTGTCTATTCTTTAACATGCCAGTATTTATACAGAACTCCATATTTCTGTCTGTCTTATGAGATCACTTTTATAATACTAAATGTTATCACATTATTATTTGATTAGCATTTTAATTTCTTGCTCTTCCTTCAGTAATTTCTTCTTACATTATATCTTATATTAAGTTAAAATGTACTAAATTAGTGGGAGTTTTTTTTAGGTTATGTAGTCAGATGATTTACAACAAGAACTGCTGTCTTCTGAGCTATTTATTTATTTTCCAAACTGAGACATTGACAGGTGTGCTTGGTGCAGGTTTATCTGACCAAGGGTAATTGGGTCTGTAAATTGCTTCTGGCTGCATCTTAGAATTACTGTTTAAACCCCTGACACTGTTGCTACAGAGGCAGTTGAGACAAGTCGTAGTAGATGTAGAGGCGCTAACATATTGTCTATATGTGCATGGAGATAAAACGTTCAGCAGGTGAAATATAATGAATTTTTGTCTTTTTACCAGGGATTAGAATGGCTGTTGTATTACTTAGATGTCTCTTTAAAGAGCTTCTTAAAAAATACATATATATATATATATATATTTTTTTTTTTTTGTTTGTTTGGCTTAAAAATTTGATGCTATCTAAAAACATTCACTTTCAGATTTGTTGTTCTTTTTTCTTTGTCAAAAAAGGCTGACAGTTGTCTCATTAAACTGCTAGTTCTCTAGCAGTCTCTCCTGTTTGGGTTGGCCCCAATGAAACAAAAAAGAAACAAAAGGAGGAAAACCTTGCCTCGCTGAGCTATTCAACAACCAGTGTATCTTTGCTACCTCTGAAAGCTAATAAAACCAAATACAACAGACTAACAAGATGGAAAGCAAGAACAACATGCCACTACCTTGTTTTGCATTGTGTAGAATGAAAAAGATGACAGGTTGCCTTCTGACAGGGGCAGTATATCTATGCACGGCCTTATTTTTTTATCTTGCTCTATAGAAGCATATTTAACAGTGCATGTTTCTTTCTGCTCCAGTCCATTTAAGTGTTGTTCTCTCATCAGCTCCTGAACCCCTAATATCTGACACAAACTCTTGCAAAGCTAGATGACTTTAAGACTTTCATTGCTTTATTTATATTAGTCATTTATTTTTATATGCCTTAGTTTGCATGTATTCAAAGATCCATGGAGCTTTTTTGCAAGCCTTC